CTTCATTTGGTTACATTTTGATGCTGGTTTTTCCCTAACGCCTTGTGGCCGCCTAATGTTTAATGTTTTGTTTTAATTAACAAATCATCACAAGATCATTACATTGTGTGTCGACAATGGAACAATCATTGCCATCATCGTAATGAATATTATGATGTTTCTTGGGGCCATTTCATTTCACAATTTGTTTGTACGCATTTTTGCATATTTACAAAGCATTTCTCGACTTTTCGAGCAGAGTAAATAACAAATATCTTTGTTTATTATTGAAAGCCGCCTTTTAAAGGAGTGAAATTTGTAAAGTGCCGAGTTTTGTTCTTATTTGCGAACCAAAAATACATTTTATTGGCTTGAAGTGCACTAAATTTAACTCAAAGGTATTGAATTTTCTATGGCTTTTTCTTTACATTTTTTACTGTTAACAAATTGATTTTTCTATAATTTTTCATCACCCGCTTTCCCGTTCCGCATTAGCGCAAATTGAACACTTTGTTTGGGCCACCAATTCGAGTCGTGGCTGCCCTTTTGGGTCGATAAATCAGGCAGTGAAGTATTTTATTGTTATCGCGGTGATGCGCCCGCCAACCAACCCATCCTGAAATCCGAATGGTTTCCGCTCAAGCTTCCTTTCACCTTTCGGTTTCAATTAACTGCAACGCCAAATGGCGCAGAGACAATCTACTCTAACCGAAAAAAATTCGTTAAACAAATTGAAAAGCGTGGGAGATGCTGTTACCCGCTTCCTTTCCAGCCCCACACCCCCTCCCATTGCGACAGCAAATATTTGCCATCAACATTTTTGCACGCTAATTTCCTCTGCAAATTTTGGGGCTCTGACATCACGCGCGGCGGCACGCATAAAGAGCGAGGAGGGTGCAGGAAATGGCTAATAGGGGAAGTGGATGAGCCTGAGGGAGAGGCAGAGAGGAAAGATAGATATTTTAAAATGTAATAAAAATAAGAAAGAATTCAGGGATACGGCATCGGAAGTTCAGACACTCTTACAGAGGGATTTCGATAGATAATAGCAATATCATTCTGCCCTCTTTGCGTTACAAACATCTTGTAGAAACAGCATTACCCTCCCAAAAAGAGAGCACAAAACTGTTGCAGCTCAGTAGACACTGTGTAGCAGGGGGCGGAGGGATAAGAGAACAGCGCAGCTCTGAAATTTCGTCACATATTTTTGCGTAAATTGCCGGAAAATCGCAAATCATTGAAGATAAACATCCAGAAGAAGTCAAGAAATGAACAGAAGTCAAGAAGGGGGGGCAGTAGGGCTAGAGATGTAGGGAGAGCCAAGGGACGGGCTAACACAAGAAGACAGCCAGACCAGACTGAGAGAGCGAGAAAGGGCAACCGCGGAAGCAAATATCGAACAATGTTAAGCAAACACTCACTCAGACAGGCAGGCAGGCAGACACACAAACATATTCACAGAAATTCGGGCAAACTGTCAGTGTGTGTGTGTGGGAGTGCAAGGCAAAGGCGAAAGGCAGGCAAATAGAAAAAAGAAACAGCAGCAAGCTGGCTCTCTAGCACTCTAGCGAGTGAAGGGGTGGAGGCAGATCAAACAGACAAAACGTCTGGCGGCGACAGAGCGGCGTAGGCAGCGTCGGCTCAGCACTGCGGTCGATGCCTGTCGACGCCGCCGTCGAAGCCAATAAAAACGGGATGAGAGTGGGAAGATGGAAAAGGGGAGAAGCGTTGCTTCGTAGAGAGAGAGACAGACGAGACGGGTGAAGCATTAAAGGTACAGGAAGCGCTGTCCAGATTAGAAGTGCAACTGAGCGACAAGAGTCGGAGAGGGCAAGGCAGCAGAGTGCATTGGAGCTTGAGTCGAAGTAGGAAAGGGGGAAAGGCGTGCAATTGGTGCTGTCAATAGAAGAGGTTGGGTAAAGAGAAGAAGAGTTCACTGCAGCTACGGAACCTGCCGCGAGAAAAAAAAAACACACACACACACACACACACAGATAAAGCGAAAGGGAGAGTGTGCAAACGTTTTCGTAACGCTTGAATTGTCAGCAAAGAGAAGGCAACTCAGAGGGAACTCTGGGAGGGCACCAAAACTCAGTGCAACAAGCAGTACAGTGCCGTGAATCGCGACTCTGCCGCTTTCAACGCATCTCCCACTCAGCGTAGGAGCTGGAAGGTGAGGGTAGGGAGCACAGAACACACCCAACATTGGGTATCCCTTCATGCATAACTCCCGGACCAGAATCTGTCGTTTATAAATATTTATAAAGCTAACTGAAAGGCATGGATTATGCTTACATCCTTGAGTAAGTCACCCGCCCGACCCCAGTCGACGAGCCGTGCAGCTAGCTGCTTAGATTTTGCGTGATTTTTGTGCGATTTTTGCGCAGAGATTTGATCCGTTTTCATTCGTAAACTTTGGGGGTACAGTGAGGGGTCGCTGAAAAGGACAAACTTTTGTTTGCCTTAGTTCTGTGCAAAGCTAAATTCCCCTTGATAAAATATCCTTACAATTAAAGCAGGGAATTATTCCCATAATACTGCATGGATTTCAGTTTTGGAACTACTTTCTGGTCTGTGAAACTCGACTTTAAAACTATCTTGGATTAAGTTCCATTGAAGCGTGTAGAGTTCGCTCATGAGAGATTTCCCTGTCAACGATTCTTTTTGTTTCGCCATCCACTTCGACTTGCAGCGTATCTAATCAATTTCGAACAATATTTGGGCAGCCGTTGCACCCACCTTGAACTGCAGATTGAGACCGAGATTGCGGGCCGAGATTGAGGCTGAGATTGAGATTGAGCCCGAGTTTGAGATTGTAATTTGTATTTAGTCGCAGCTGCTAGCGCTCCTTGGCACTCCTTGGAACCACCACCACCGCCGCCGCCGCCGTCGCTCCTTTCCAGCTCACTTCACTTGAATTGAGATCCTGAGCAGAGCAGAGGCACAGCAGAACCGAACAGAACAGAGCGAAGCATGGCTTTGGCGGCTGCTCCTTAGTTTCTGATGCTGACTTGGGCCATTAAATTGAATTTAGTTTGATTGCATTTGATTGTAGCTTATCAGAGAGGGAGCCAAGGCACAGAGATTTATGCTTCGTTAACTTTTTAGTGCAATTGTAGCAAAGAACAGAGAGAGGGCGAGAGACAGAGACAGACATAGAGAGAGAGAGAGAGAGAGAGAGAGGATGAATGAAACGCGTCTGGGATGTGGCTATGGCTATGGCTATGGCGCTGGAAGGAGGAGGAACATTTGCATAAGGCTTCACAAATTTTTAATTAAACCCCGCTGAATGATTGCTGACAGTCGTCAGTGTGTGTGTGTGAGAAAAGAGTGTTATAAATAGCTGAAAGGCCTTGATGATGGCTCTGATTCCCATCGTCGTCGTCTCCTCATCCGTCTTGGTTGAGGCTGTGCTCCCTTTCGTCGCTCTCTGCCACTGATGCGGCGCGGTGGCATAAAGTGCGCACTCATTTTGCCATTAGGCAGTAGCAGCAGCAGCAGCAGCAGCAGCAGCAGCAGCAACAGCATCGCTAGAAAACTCTCACTTTGGTCTATTAATGATGATTCGCTCAGGCCCGGTCCCGGCCCCCAGCCTCAGGCTGAAGACCCAAACCCCAAGTTGAAATATCATCAAGTTGGGATAGAAATGATGCCGCGTTAATTGCGGCTGCGGCCTCCAAGGCGAAATGCAATTTTGCCTTCACTTTGCTCGTTGAGGCGTTAAACTGACAGTCGCCAGGTGCGCTCTGCCACTGCCCCTCCCTGCCTATGCCTGCGCCTGCACTTACCTTTGCTTATCGCCCTACCTGGCGGCTGCCTGGCCCTGACGCGTGATGCGTTTTGATAATTGCACTGGGACTGTGGCCAAAGTTAGTTAAATATTATCATATAGACAAGTGCCGCATATAGATAATGTCTACGGTGAAAGCTGCCTTGGGGCGAAACAATAATCATAAAAGAAACTTATGCCTACGAGATTGATAGACTATCACTTAAGGGAGTCTGAAAGAATCATTCCAATTGCAGCTCCAAATCCCTCCCTTTAAGGAAAGAGAACCAAATGTTTCTCTTAATTTTTGGTTTCACTGTATTCTCTGTTGCTTTTCACTCGCACCGCTGCACAATTAAAAGCTGTCAAAATTTCACTTTGCCCGTTGCTGCCTGCCTCGTTTCGCTCTTCACCGTTCGCTCCTTTTGCATTTTGCTTTGTTTTCCGGCATTATCATCATCATCATCGCCAGAATGAACATCATTATGGACATGCCGAAATGCCTTTTGATTGTCTTTGCACAATTCAGCGCCAATTTTAAAATCATTTTCACACACGAATGCATCTCGAGAGCAGATAGAGAAAGAGTGAGGGGGCCCGGTCCGGAAATGTTTTTGGCCAAAGAAATCAACGCTTCACCCATTCCCCCTCCCCATCGCTTACACCCACGCACCCGCAGCACGTTGATAATGAAGTCGCGCACTGTTGCTGTCCCTTTCCTCTCCCTCTCTCTCACCCACTCTGATTTCGCATACCTCTGCACCATTTCTCAGTTTACCGTTTCCCCCCGCCCGATTGAGCCGATAAACACGAAGCGCAGCACAGCGCAGAGCAGATGTTCCCCTCTTGCACCCGCTTGCTCGTAGCATCAGCATCATGTTTGTTTATCTACACAGCAACAAATACAACAAATGAAACAAGAGCAAATTCAAATGCAAATATAAATAAAATAAATCCATTTTGGTTGGTACTTATTGTACCCTATGAGAAGAGTGTTATGACTTTGACAAGAGAGTGGCTTTACAGTTTTGAAGCTCCTCACTGCACTAAGCTCACTGTACGCAAAATCACACACTGAGAGAGCTATTGATCTACTCTCTCAGCTTCGCTGCTGCGCAATTACTGAAAACTACCGAAGCAAATGGTGGTGCATTCTGCCAGAGAGTAATCAATTGTGTTTTCGGCTTCTACAGTACGAATCGTAAATCGGTATCGGCAAGATCGCGTTAATAGTCCATTGAGCTTTGATAGAAAATATGTCTTTTAAAGGGTATGTAACGCTGCGGGGTCCGAAGCTGCATTCACTTCTGTTTTTCTGCTGGCGTTGTGCGTGGCATGTGCATCGGCTGCTGCTTAATTGCGTGCAACTTTCAGCGGCCAAATTAAATGTAAAGATTGCATTTTCAATGTGCACTAAATAACGCCAAAAATTCAAATATCGACTTTCAGTAGAGATGGTGGGGAGTTGGTGGATATGTGTGGGAGAGAGGAAAAGCACTCAACAGCACTAATAAGATAACAATTTATTTATGTTTACTTGCAGTCAAAAAAAGCAACAGCAAATCAACGGCAGCAGCACTCTACCAAAAGAGAGATAGCAAAAGTAACTGCAAAACCAGTAACAGGCCATTGAACGCAGGTACAGCAACAATTGCAAGCGCAAGCCAGGCAGATTTAGTGAGAGATCGGCAACGCAATCAATAAAGAGAGCACCAACCGCAAGCGCATCGATTCAAGAGAGAGAACAAAAGCTGCCTGAGAGAAGGTTCGGGTCAGCGATTAAGAAGGTAAGATAAAGACAAAGTAATATAAAAGCTCGACACGTTTTTGCATGCATAATTTTCTCGGTGGAGGGTTTGCTCGTATGAACGGGACTTTCTGACTTTCGAATGAGGCTTGGGAATCTGCAAAATATCAAATCAGTGGCTAAGAAAAACTAAAGTTGTAGTGGGATTATGGTCTGGAATTCGGAAAGCAATTAGATTATCTTAATATGGCTTGAGGTTATATTCTGTGGGCTAAGACATGAAACGAAACCAAGCAGAAAAGTGCCCTTTTATTGCTTTGTTTTGATGACTTTTTGCCCCGTCTCAAGTGTGCTTTCCGTAGACCCAATTAAATCACGTATTAACCGAGTTTATTTTTATCAGATGTTATCAGTTTAATGTGATTTCCACATTTGCGTATCTTTTTGGCATGTAGTTTGTAATTTGCATAAAATATTTATATCTTCCGCTAAACAGAGTCAAAGTGGAGTAGGAGAAAATACAATAAAAATGTTGAAATCTCTTTAAAAAATATGTGCAAATGCAATCTTTCGATCAATACACTTGCAGTGCATAACAAGGTCCTCCCATCTCCTTTTACTTTCTCCAGTCTTGAGTCTCAAGTCAAAGTTGTAACCATGGCAGCTCTCAGTCGTTTGAGTGGTGCGGAAGAACCTCCAAAGTTTGCGATGCGGTCAGCGCAGAAGTGGCTCTCTGGCCACATAATAATTATCGCTTAATAGGCAACACTCTGGCGTATGGCTGGACAGGGGTATGGACAGGGGTTAGGGGTCACAGTGGAGCGGATACCGCAAGGCCAATCAAAGCGTCATTGAAACGGAAACGGAAACTGCAAGTCAAATGGTAGTCGGCCACAGGAAATGAGGCGCACAAGTGGCCAAGAAATTCTCGAAGAGTGCGGTTACTATACAGCGACCGCAAATTAACGCAAATCCCACACCGAGAGAGCCAACACCATCATCATTCCAGTGGTCGGGCATTCCCTCCTAGTGATATTCTGATGAATTATTAACGGAGTGCCACGAATGCAGTAGCATCTCGGAACCATCTTCTTCGCTGTTTGCTTGTCTTCTTTTTGTTGTGGGCCAAGAAAAAAAAAAAAGTGACCAAGGCAACGTTTGTCAACGTCATTGGCTTCCGTGGTTCGGGTCCGTGGTTCCGAGGCGACTCCTCGCTGAATGAGCGCTCAAATGAACACCGCAATGAATGTGCGCCGCATGACAAATACGTAAAGTTTCTTTTGAAATTAAGCAGCATTTGCTGCCAATTCTTAACTACATCAGCGCCTGTGCCAAAGTTTGTCCTCCTTTCCGTCCATACCTCTCCCTCGCTCTCTTTCTGACACTTTCTGTGGGGGCAAGAGCTGTGCTCTTGAAGTAGTTTTTCTCTTGGCTGGAGCTGCAGGGGGGGGGGGGGGGGGGGGGGGGGGAGAGGAAGGAGAGAGCTTGCTCATTTCAAACTTTTGACACAGAAACTAATTTTGGCAAGCGGGCGTCAACCAGTCAACCGAGATGCCAAAGCAAAAGCAAAAGAGGGAGTGAGACAGAAGCGGAACGGAAACGGAAACGGTGTAGGAAGAGGAGCCACCCAAAAAAGCAAGCCAAAGAAGCAAGTTCCAACTGCAATCTCTCTGGTTCCCTCTCGTCACTCGTCTCTCGTCTCTGGCTTTTCATTCTTTTAGTGATTGCAATATTTCATTGCCTTTGCGGTTCGTGTGTTGCATACTTTTGAGGCGAGATGTCGCTGAGGTTTTGCCTTAATTAATTGCCACAGCTAAAGCACCCACCGCACACCACATTTTCTTCCTTCCTTCCGTTGTGCCACCCGTTTCGGAATGCATTTTTCGCTTCTGTGACGCCGTGTCTTGCATTTTAAAGCATTCCTCCACGTCTTTGAATGGCACTTTAATTGTCATTTCATTTGATTAATCCCCCCCCCCCCAAACTTAAGCTTCAAAGCCTCAGCCAGTCTCTGGGTTTATGTTGTCTCCCGTTGGACGAGCAAATTAACGCTTCAGATATGGTGCGACATCTCACTGGGAGGACTGACGGACGGGAGTGAAGCTGTCAAATCAAACTTCCCCGAACTTGCGTGCAGATTTATGACATTTTGATTAGGCGATAAGTGTCAAAGCTGCATTAGTAGCAATCTTCCCACCCTCAGTGGGAGCCGACAGGGTCGAGCGTTGGGCTAAATGACAAGCACTTGCATACCTCATGAATATGCCACAATTTGAAATGCCAATTGAAGCTGGGGGAATGTGCACCTTAAAAATGTTTCAATTACGAGCAAAATTTGCACTCGGAAAACTGCTTCCAGTCTATGCATATTGAAAGACAGAGAGGAGAGCAAAAAGCAAGCAAATTTGCTTGCAAAAATAAACCATTAAGGCCGAAAAGTGTACATTTGTGGAGTGTGTTTGCCAATCATATTTTGAGGACCAGTGCCAGGGATTCTCTAGGGAATCGATGCTGGGAGCCTTGTTGTGTCAATTACATGGCTAAAATGTTCACACCTTTCGTTAATAATGCAAATGTGAAATGCAAATGAAGGTAGGAGCTTCAGCAGCAGTTGCCGTTGCCGTTGCCGTTGCCGTTGCAGATACAGATACAAATGCAAACGTATCTAACAGATACCGGAATAGAGCCAAGGAGCTCAAGCTGATTGCATTTCATTTTCAATGTAACTTACTTTTATTTCGAGTAGTGGAAGCGTGGAGTGGAGTGGCAGCTAGCTCCCCTCCCGGTTTGCTAGAATTACCATCGAATGAACGTGGACCGAAGACCCAGACCCTGGTGCAGGAAAGGAGTGCAGTGGAGTGCAGTGGAGTGGAGACCGACAACAACAGTTGGGATTCTCTACATTTTCAATATTTTCTCAGCAGGCAGCACTATCATCATTTTTTTATTCGCTCTTCGCCGCTGCTCCTGGCCCGGCCCGGCCCTCTTCCCGTGTCATTGCCTAGATTCTTGTGCACTATGGCCATAGGTTTTTAACTACAACAAGCTCCTGAATGCAATTACTTTTCAATCTTTTTTGTATGTTTTTGTGCCCCTCCGCTGTGTGTGTGTGTGTGTGTGTGTGTTCTATAGTTTCATCGCGAAAATTGCTTATTTCAACATTCAAGCTGAGGCAAAAGTTTCTTAACATAAAAAAAAAAAAAAAAAAAACGCGTAAAATAAAAGGAAAAGTTTGCCATAATTTTTCCAAGAGGTCTATCACTTTCTTCGCCTTCAACTGGCCCTTGCCCTCTCTCTCTCTCTCTCTCCTTCCCCTTTTCACTCTGTCGCTTTGATTACTTTTCTTTTTGCCCTCCTCTGGCCTCCTGTTTTTTTATTTGAACCCGGGCAAAAAGTGGCTCGAACTTTGTTTTATTTGATCAGCAATTTGACATGATGCCTTGGTTTATGCCAAAGAAATGCGACACTTCCACTTCCAGCCCAGGAAATGCACTTTTTGAGAGGCAGTTATGAAAGTCATTTCACTGCCAGAGGAAAGAGGAACGAGGGAGATTAGGATTAGGAAGATTAGTTTGGCGGGGGCAAAAAATGGCAAAAAACGAACTTAATAACGTATTACTATGGGGGTTGGGAATGCTCTCTTGGGAGGAGATCATTAATGAATCCTGGAAGGCGAGAGGCAGCTGCTTTTCGACTGGGCCGCCTAATCCTCCTCCCTTGGCCGCACGCACGGTTCACCCTTTTTGTTTGCCAGGATTCATGCTTGCTCCTGTCCAGCAGAGACTCTGCGCGTTTTCAGCTGCTTGGGAAATTACGTTGTGTAATGTCACTCTAATCTTTTTGCACGCGAACCCAGAGCACTCCGGACACACTCTCTGGCATGTTGTTGCATGTATTTTTTGTTGCATTTCTAAATGAGCTGTGCGTGGCGGCGAGCGGGCGGATTAGTGCAACGGATTAAGAATGAAAATGTTTGCAAAAATGTTTGCAAAATATGAAAAGTTTATGGCTCGGTTGCCAGATTAAGAATGAATGTTTTTTATTGCGGCTGCTGGCAGGGGCATAAGTCAAAAGTGCCACACAGGTAGTGCCACAGGTATGGGTTGAGGCGGAAAGTAAAGGTGCAAAAAATGCATTAGGCATCAGGTAGAAAGAAGTGTTCAGTTGCTGAGTTGTATAAAAAGTAGAGCGAGTGCTGGACAGGACATCAAACGATCTGAGAACGTTGAAGAAGTAACATTCAAAAGGAATCTTTACGCTCGAGTATTAGCTACAAATCGAAAATGCCACGCCGCTACCAGAAACTAATCAATGAAGACAGCAGCATGGACAGCATCGCCACACGACCACAGCAGAGGGAGTCCAAGCAGCAGCAGCAGCAGGAGGCACAACAACAGCAGCAGCAGCATCGCCATCAGTACCAGCAACAGCCCGCAAATGTGGGCTACCATTTGTATCTGTATCGCCAGCAGCTGGCACGTCGCAATGTGGAGTACATGCGACTGTCCAAGGCCAAGTATTGCATCACGGACACACTGCTGAACAAGACGGTGCGGAATCTGAAGGCCTGCAGCGTGGACGAGCTGAAGACGGTCAACAATCAGATTGTGTTTCGGCACAAGCTGAAGCATCAGATACGTCGCCTGCGCAAGCTGCACTTTTTGGGCATCAAAAATGCCAATCCCAAGATGGAGAGCACGGAGCTGTGAGCTGTCAGCTGTGAGAAGAGCAACGGGAGGAGCGGCAGACAGGAGGAACCAGCAAAGCCACAGGAAACTTCCAGCTTCTGTCAAACAGAGGCCCTGACCTGCGCGTAACCAAAAAACATAGTTTAAGTGGCGGGCACTGCATTAATCTATATTTAAATCACACTTTAAGCTTAATATTTACCCAAACATTTCAATACATTTTCTCAAACAATACATGCAAATAATAGGTATTTTTCGTAATCGCAACTGAGGGCAATTTGTGGCAACAACTAATTGAGTTCTCTGTGTGTGTCGTCTATGTGTTTTTGTTTGTAGCGCCTTGACATGTGTCAGGACAAATCATATTTTGTTGCTTGCCTCCCGCCTTTTGGCCGCAAATCCATTAGGAATTCATGAGCGTGTGTGTAATTTTCTCTTTTGAGAGCACATTGAACTGGTAGACATTTTGTTGTATATATTTTTAGCTGCATAATGCCAGAGCTGGGTTCGATTAATGATCGTTCCAGCAGCAGCAGCAGCAGCAGCAGCCAGCAGCCAGCATAGCATCGGCTGCAGTTTAATTGGAAAATCATTTTGCACAAAGTGCTTTACACTTAACTTAACACCGAACATAATTATTTTCACTCAAAATAATATTAATAAATGGAGGAGTTCCCTTTCCACACACACACACACACACACACACACGCACACACACTCGCTATAAATAAATGGCGCACATAATGCGGCCAGTAAGTCAATTTTAATATTGGAATGAGTTGTGCAATGTTCAAACAAAAACCTCAACCTCTCTCTGCCTCTGGGCACTGTGTCAAAGTGAATGTGAGTGTTAACAATTAAAATGTATATGTGTTATTACAGCCTTACATGTGTACATGCCACATGGGATGAGCGGGGAGATACATATGCATATGTATATATTCATATTCCATGCAATTATGTTTGGGTTGTGCGTGTTTGCTGCAATTTGCCAACACTCAAAAGTATGCTATGAAAAATGTCGCACGAACAAACACATTAAATTTTCCACACAATCAATTTTGCTTGCCAAAGGAATTCAGTCGGAGCGAGAGCAGCCACTGCCATATGTTAATTTTCTATAAAATTGATTTATTTACGAATATACTGCAAGGACACACTCATTTAATCGTTCAAACTTCCTGCTGCAAGCAGCAAATTTAAATGTAAACTTTAAGCAGAGCAAGCTGCCACTTCCAAGACGACGTCTCTGCCGAGTCTGCTTGTCGAGTCGATTAGTGGGCTTCATTATGTGCATCATTTTCATTATGTTTATTATGGCACAGGGTACACCCACAGAGGAGGGGCACAGCCAACTGCTCGAGTTAATGCAATAAATAAAATTCCAACTGCACCATGGGGCATGTTTAGCCGCATGAAAAGCGACAGTAAGGAAATGGTGTGGTGTGGGGAGGGGAGGGGGTTGCGCACCGTGGCTGCATAAGAAGTTGCCGCCTGTTTATCTTGGGCATCACCTCTCGCACTCCACTCTCTGCCTTTGTTTATTCTGGTCTGGGGGGAGAATGGGCTTGCCTGCCTGCTCCCTGTCACTGGTTGGCTGTTTTCTTTCAAAAAGTTGTCCCCCCTGCTTGTTGCTGTTGCTGCTGGCCGGTGTTTGGTTAGACCAGAGCAGAGCAACTGCTTGGCCAACTGCCCTAATGAGTTTACAAAAAGTTTTGCTTTAACAAAATGCCAAGGAGCAGTAGGAGCTGCAGAGGGGAGTGCTTCACAGTGGCAGCCACTGCCCCAGCATGTTATACAAATTGCAAGAGGGACGACGGACCACGGACCCTGGACCAAAACTGTCATCAACGTGTCTGCTGTACAGTCATCTCTCCCTGCCCACTCGCTCGCTGTAGTTTCAGAACGTGCATGTGGCTGGCTGGCTGGCTGGCAACTTGGAGTTGCCTCCCCATTTGTTTACCTATCCCATTTGCCGGCAAAGTTGCATTGTTGCTGCCTGGTTACTTGGCGACTAAGCGAAAGTTTTCGCATTTATGTTGCAGCAACAGACAAAGACAGAGAGAGAGAGAGAGAGAGAGAGAGAGAGCGACAGAGGGCGCAAAGTGAGTGGGCGGAGAAGAATATGCATTTTAATTAGTTTAGCAAAGTTGCAACTGCACAGCTCGCAGACACCGGAGGAGTCTTGGTCTGGTTAATTGCGCAAATTGAATGGCTGCTGGCTGCCAGAGTCTTCCTTGTGTCGCCTGTAACTGTCATTGCACTTTAATGTGTGTGTGTGTGTGTGTGTGTGTGTGTTTGTCAATTTGTTTGTGTAGCTGGCAAAAGTTTCCTTCAGCCTACAGCCCGCAAATGCAACACAAAACTTGTTAACATTTCACATTTCACCAAGTAGCAAATTCAATTAGTTTTGTTGTCATCTGTGCCCCACTGCCCCCCTGCCCCCCTGCCCGACAGAGAACATTTCAGCAAATTACTTTAATGCCGCCCCAAAAAGTTGCCACATTAACTTTGAGCCATAATTTACTCAACTATTTTGCTCATTTCTGTCTCGCAATTTCTCCGTCACATCAATTAATTTGTCTAAACATAAATCCGTTAACTGTTTGCCTTCACGTGCAGCATTGTGGCCAAAAGGAGGCTGCAATTGATGGCAGCAGCAGCAGCAGCAGGCCAGAGCAGACAAAAACAGAACCTCATTAGGTTTTTCAATAAATTTAATTCAATATAAATAGAGTGCCTGCTGGCACGTCTCGTCTGCCAGACTGCCAGTCAGCAGTCAGGCACTTCATCTTCGTCTCCTTCGGGTCCTCCTTTGGACTCCTTTGGAGTCCCTTTTTTGGGTGCAGTGCAGGAAGCGTCAAAGTTGCACACGTCGCCGTCAGCGAGGACTTAGAGCAGCTCCCTGTTGTTGCTGCAACTCCTCCTACTGCTCCTACTGCTCCTACTGCTCCTCCTGTTGTCTGAGACTGAGGCTAAGGCTGCTGCTGCTCTTCCTGCTTGGTATAAAGCTGCCTGCCGTGTGCAGATTGCCGTGTCTGGGATTATGCACTGGGCACAAATGGGAGACTATTTAGTGTTTGTTCATGGCTAACCTCGCAGACATTTCTCTCAGTGCCCAGAAACTGTTTCTTCTTTGCCATTTCTTTAGCCAAGTTTCTCGCCACCTCAGCTTGAGCCGCGCTTAGTCGAGCGTTGGCAAGCGCGTAAATTTGGCGCTTCAAAGCGGTGATTATGTCGTCGGCAGCTGCTTTACTCTCTCTCTCTCTCTCTCTCGCCTGCACTGATGCCTGTCCCTCATTTACTTGGGCAATTTTGCCCGTTCTTGTTCTTGTTTTTGGTGCCTGCCTGCCTCACTGCCTCACGTCATCAGTTGAATAAATTAAGTTGCCGGCAAGCAGCTAAATGAAATTGTTAATTTGAAGCTGCACAGCAGAGCGGATACTTGATGCTGTCTGATGTTTGCTGTCTGCTGCTGCGTTGCCAGAGTTACACCTGGCAGGAGGAGCTGCAGCCTGCAGCCTGTGGCCGCTAAGCCGCTTATGGCCTGAGCTCAATCCAGTGAGCACAGTGCCGCCATATGCTGGACATCATCAAGAAGATTCTGTGCCAGCAGCCAGCTCTTCAGTTAACTCTTTGTATCTCAATTTGATTCCCTCCTTGTCTCTCTCCCACCTCACGCTCTCGCTCAGTGGCATTCAACTGCTGCCACTCTCGTCTGTAATTGCATTTTAAATGTTTGTCTGTAAATTTGCAAATGATTACTTGAATTTATATTAAACTTTAACCCCCTCAGCCACTTAATTAGCTCTCAGCTCTCAGCTCTCCATCTGCTGGCTGGAGGAACTTCAGTTACAGTTTCGTTTTCGTTTTCGTTTTCGTTTTCGATTTCGATTTGGCGTTAACTACTTTTTCATATGACCATCAATCTGTGGCGATTGCAAGTTTTCGTGTGGGTGGGCCAAGACAATACCAAAAAAAAAAGGAAATGAACCAAAGAAAAAGGGATGAACTTTTGTGCAACGAAGGAGAGAGCGCGCGTGAGAGAGAACCGGAAAATATATTGAAAAATGCACTGGGTTTCCCTTCTTCCTGCGATTTTCTCTGTGAAAACTTTTGTGCAAGTTCCTGCCTCCTCTTTTGGGTGTCCCTGCCCTGTGCCGCCTTGGCCTTTGCCTAAACTGACGTAAATTTATAATGACAAATTGCATTTGGAGCAAATGCAGCGAAAAACCCGCACAGAGAAGAGCCAGAACGGGCATGTACCAGAGAGAACTCTCTCCTGGAGTTGCGGCCAATTGGGCGTGAAAAATGATGAAGCTAGAAAGAAAATGATGGATAGATAGATAGAGGGACATAGGCACAGGCTGGAAGGAGACATTCAAAATGCTTAATTACAGTTTTGAATCCGCTTCACTTTGATTTTTGCATAAACCAAATGAATAATGAATTGACAGCGCCCACAGGTTGAACTCGAACAAGAGATAAACGTGGCCAAAGAGTACAAAGAAGGCCTTCAACAGGAGTGAAAAGATGTCTGAAATAAGAGTACAAATATTGCAGAAAGATGTCTGTAACATGAGTAAGGTGAGGGGCAAAAAGGTGGCCTTTGTATGGGCTCAAATATGTTTCAAATAAAAGGTAAAAGCTGCCTCCAGTTACACGAAAAATATGCAGCAGAGTCTGAAGTCTGAAACTATGCCTGAAATTGTATGCACAAGATGGCCAAAATATGTCATAAATAATAGTGTGAAAATCGATCTGCAGTGGAGGTGAAGGAACTACAGAATGAACTTTGCCTCAAGTCAAAGCAAGAAACTTGATGCTGGGAAATGTTAGGAAAGTTTTTCGCCAAAGGACAACAAATTCTCTATATGCACTTCCAGCTGTAAAATATATTTTAATTGACAGATTTATGTGCATCAGTTTAAGGCTTGAATAATGGAAATGACTTAGAATATGCATCAAGCGAACCGATTATTCCGCATAAACTGATAATTTAACCCCAAGGCTAGCAGATTGATTGACTTTTGGTGTATAATAAATATAAAAACCAAACATCCATCAGCGAAGGTTGGAGAAATGTGAAAAGCTGTGAAAGCTGAAGCCTGCACAGAAAGGAAAGCAAGGGACAATGGACCCAACAAACCATCTTCTAGCCAGCATATCAGTCAGGCCAGCAGTGCAGTGCAACGGCCAAAAGTGGCTTAAATTTCACTACCTTCTGCCTTCTCCCTGCTGTGGCAGGGCTATGGGTCCACCACCATCGCCGCGTCAGGGCGATAAAGCAAAAAATGACACGTTTTTAATTCTACTTCACACCTACACAAAGACAGCAGCAACACGGAGAAGGAACTGTAATCAAAACTGCAAGAGAGCAACAGTCACAACACAGCAACAATAACTGGCACAGCAGCGACAGCTTGGCAACAAGAAGAACTGAAGGTGGCAACAAGCAGCCAACTCAACAACTGAAAGGTGACAACAATGCAACTAACTGGAGAAAGAACGCAATACAAAATGTGGCAGCTGGAAGTGGGAGTGGGAGGTTGATGTTGATGTTGAGGAGTGGACCCGAGCACAGACGATCCTAGAAAGCAGAACTCGGAGCTGCCAGAGCTAGCAGAGCTTCAGAGAAAGAGAAAAATTAGATTTATCACGAGTGGTTGCCGGAAAAATTGTCAACATTTATCAACATTTTTCAAGCGGGGCACCTCAAGAAAACTGCAACAACAACAACAAATAACAAAAGGAAAACTAAACTCTGGCGTTGCCAAGGCTAAGCCAAGTCCAAAGTATGCCAACACCTCTGGCCACCGCTGGCCACCGCTCGGTCTCTAGTTTGGTTTTTCTTTTTTTGGCCGCGTGGGAGTGCATTTTGATTAATATCCGCAACGTCAAGCCATGGCCAACACACAAATCCATTCAGCAACAACAACATCCGAGCCGCGCGAGTCCGTTGATTGTAAAAAGTGGTCACGAGACGATGATGATGACAACAAATTCACTCTGGGCTACAAATGAAAACAAAGTTGGCAAGCAACCAGCGAGCGCACACTTTGGCCTGTCAGTGTGCATAGAGTGTAGGTGTTGTTGGCCAGCAATCTCTTCATACACAGTCTCCACTCCACTCCATTCTCTACTCAAGTGAAAGCCAGTGAAAAGCGGAGAACTTTCCCAAAATCAGAGTCCTTTTTTGTCTTGGTTGTTTGAAGTATTTGCAGCAGATTGAACAAGCGGGACAAGCCCTACAATTAGCTAAAGTGTTGCCCGGAGATTATTTAATTAAGACACAAAACCTGAAAAATAAGCACAAGTTTTAATCAATTTTGAATGGGGGGTTTCATGGGTTTAATCCGCCCGAAAAATTCCATCAACTCTTTTTCATCGGCAGCTGCTCTGCTCTCCAGCTGAAAGTGAGAGGCAAACAATGGAGCCCACAGCCGCCCACCCTCTCCACACACACACACACACACACACACACACACACACACACACACACACACACACACACACACATAATCGCATTTTGAACTTTTTCAATAATAAAACTTTTCTAAACGGATTTCCCGCTGGACGGTTGCGCTTTAATAATTTTTGCTGTTTTATCTTTTAGTTTTTTCCATGAGCAACAAAGGATCAGGATCAACAGAGAAGTCGTGGAGCAACAGGAAGGGTCAAAGTGCATCAAAGGCATTCATTTAAATTGGATATTATGTGCGCAACGGCAGCGGGAACGACCACCACCAACACTGAGAGGTAAGTCCGCACTGAGAATCACTCTTCGTGGAGTCCCTTAACTGTTGGAGTATTTCCTTCTTGCAGCTCATGTATGACAAATCCAAGAAATCGTGGAGTCAGAGGCTCAAGACACTCGGCAGCAGCCCGCACAGCGGTGGAGACGCCTCTCTAGGCACTGTCAGCGGCATGCAGGCCATGCAGCAGCTGCAGCTGCACTTGCAGCACCAGCACCAGCAGCAACAACAACAACAACAGTTGCAACAACAGCAGTTGGCCCAGCACTTGCCACAGCATCATGGCCACCATGGACACCATTTGGCTGCGTACCAGCTGCCACCGCCCGTTGCCGCCGAGTTCCTGCCCAGCGCGCTGTCGCGCTCCATGAAGTATGCCGAGCCCTGGATCTATGGCACTGTGCGGGGCATACCCGCGCGTCCCTCCTACGGCTATCATCATCAGCATCAGCATCAGCATCATCATCATGCCCATGCGGCGGCCATCTTTGCCACGGATGGTGGAGGCGGCGACTCCCCCCTGAGGGGCGCCCTGGCCGTGGTGATCTGTTCGTGCGCCGAGTATCTGAACGGAACGAAACGTGACGTGAAGAAGGCGAGCGTGTGCAAGAAGTGCAAAGGTTCACGCCTGCCCCTGGCCACCATCGGTGGCTCCACGGGCGGGGGCACTGTCAGACTGCCAGCTGTCAGCAGCAGCAGCAGCGGCGGCAGGAGCAGCCGACCGATGGCTGCCACAATGCGTGTGGTTAGTGCCACAAAGAAATCACGTCCCTCCATTCTGGATCCACAGAAGGATCCCTATGACCTGATGCGACGCACGCGACTTCTCTCGCCAGAGCCAACGAGTGCCAGCAGCAGCAAGGACTCCCCCAGCAAGGAGGGCAAGTCACGTAGCCGCGAAGCGGCCACAATATCAACGACGAGGGGTCGCACCCGGACCAGGGCACCGCTGCCACCGTCAAAGGGAACTTCGACTGCTGCCCCTCCAGCAGCAGCAGCAGTAACCTCTGCGGCGCCAGAGCCCGCCGACTGCTGGCTGATGGAGGACAACGATGCACTGCTGCGGGGCAGCGGCCTCACCGCCAGAGCCTCCAGCACTGGCAGCAGTCGCCGCTCCATTCTACGCTGCAACGTCAATCCCTACGACCTGATCTCAATTGAAAATGGGAAGCAGAAGCAGCAGTCCTCGGGCAAGTCCTCGGTCTATGCGGATGACTTCGATGTGGCCGATGCCCAGCTGCACGACGATGAGCTGGAGCGACAGCGGGAGAAGCAGGGAAAGCGCAAGAAGTTCTACGGCAGCAATGTGACGGCCATAGCTGGCCAAAGGATTAGCCTGGGCAAGGAGAAGCCAATCGATCCATCCGATTCGAGTGACAGCTATGAGCGGATCATTATCGCCTCCTCCGGGTCCTCGGTGGAACCGCTGGCTTCTGCTCCCCCTGTAGTGGGGCCACGACGTCCGCCACGCAATAAAAAGGCGGATGAGTCGACAGGCAACCACCACCAGGAAGTGCCTGCAACTGCCACAATGCCTGTAGTAACTCCCTCAAAGGCGCCACCCACGGACGCTGAGAATGATGCAGAAGATGATGATGAGAATGATGATGATGATGATGATGATGGCCATGATGGCTCCTCGCCCTTTACACTGCTCACTGTGACGCCCACAATGCCGGCCATCAAGTCTATACTGAAGCGGCGTCCATCGACACTGGAGGTGCCGCCAGCTGGCGTCATCCTGCTGCCCGAAGGTGGTCTGTCGACGGCGCCACTGCTGACGCCTTCGGGCAAGTCACAGTTCTACATTCCGACGCCAACGAAGGCGACAGCTGCCACGCCCACGAACACAGCTGCAGCAGCAGCAGCAGCAGCAACGGCGACATCAACACCCACGTCCACGATACCAGGAGCGAATGGGGTGACGATGACGCCAACATCCACATCCACATCCACGACGAGTTCACGCAAAAAAGTGCAATTTATGGTCGAGGATAAAATCATAGCCACGACAACGGATACGCCGCCGACAACTGATGACAGCAGCGATGCCAGCCATGCCTTTGTTGCCACAGTCACTGCTGGATCTGGTTCTGGATCTGCTGCTGATGAAGCAACAACAACAACAACAACAAGGACAACAACAAGGACAAACTATGAGTACTACAATCGCAAGAGAAATGCAGCAGCGGCAGCAACAGCTGCTGTAGGAAGAGCAGCGGCAGTGGCAGCATCAGCAGCGGCACAGCAGGAGACATTTGCGGCTGACGTTGATGATGAGCATAACTTTACAACTTCCGCTGAACCAACAGCAACAGCAACAGCAACAGCAACAGCGTTGCACATTAAGCCGGATAGTTTGCATTATGAAGATGTGCTGCTGCTGCCTCAGCTGTCCGGGCATCAAATATTTGACAAGAGCGACAGCAACAGCAACAGCAGCAGGAGCAGCGAACCAGCAACTGAAATGCAGCCAAAATTATTATTGCCAGCGCAGGAGGATGAAGAGGATCCAGCTCCAGCAGCAGCATGCCACTTGGGCTCGCGCTTCCCGCATGTCACTGCAAATGTTGTCAGCGTTTTGCCAGACGGTAAGTACCGCAGACCATAGACCGTATATAGAAACTAGAAGCTAGAACCAAACCATTCAAACTGTCCACTGGTTGCCCTTTGGCAGGGGGGAGAGGAGAGCTTAGCTCTCTTGGCCTTTTGTTGGCTTTTAATTATGAGGCAAAAGGAGTAGCGCCAGGCAAGCAGTTTTTCCGTGCCACATAAGCAAACTCATACGAAAGGGTAAAGCCCCAACTCCTGCCACACGGCTGTGTCTATTCTTTTTGCTAGTCTGTCATTCCATTCGTGGGTGGACAGTGTTTATTTTTGAGTGAAAATGCAGCAATTGTTTGCTAATTGCTCATCAACCGCACGGCACGGCACTGCACATGGCATGCATATTACGTATACGCAAAGTTGACGACGACACTTTATGCATTAAACAAATGTAACGCCTCCACCGCCCAGGGGGAGAATGAAAATGGGAGCGCGAGTGCGAGTGGGAAGTGAAAATGGTTGTGCCACAGCCGGAGCCAATTGAAATGGTGACATTTGAATGGGGAACGATGGGGTCACACCTGCTGCAAGTTCACGGAGGGGTTAACACCATAATCAAGCATCAGAATGAACCCCCAGTCTCTCGCTCAGAGCAGACCCTATTGACGCACAGTCTGACAGTCATCTACTTTGAACTCTTGCCTCTTACCTTATTCCTCTGTGCCGCTTTAAGCGACTGAAACCTGAAAGCTTTCCACACATATCCATCCAAAAGGTGGCATGCCACCCACGGCACGTAGCTACGCGGCAAACAGAACGAGGACTACACGACTGGCGACTGGCGACTAGGAGGCAGAGTCAACGTGACATTTGCACCCACAAATGGCTGCAAAGACCCACAGCGATATGGCACCAAAACTATGTACTTCCCATATGCATGGGGAGAGGAGAGGAGAGGCTGCCACTTTTACCCCTTTTGCAGGGACAAGTACTGGGGGGCGTGTCGCACATGTTCGACTTCATTCAAAGCAAATTAACAGGCGACACACAGGCAGGCAGGCAGGCAGGCAGGCAGACAGAGAGCGAGTGAAACTTTTCATTCAATTAAATTTTGAAGTAGGGAAAAAGTTACAGAGAAAAACGTGGCGGGTCCAGGAGGGCATTCTCTGTTCGATTAAAGGATAAAGAAAGAAAGAAAGATGTGTGATCAGGGTGATTAATTTTCCTTCCTCCTCCAAAAAGAATAGCAAAGACTGCACATTCCAGAATGTGCTCAATGCCAATTCTTACGAGTGGAGACACTCGTACCCACCACAATTGCCAAGACTTTGGCTTATGGCTGTCTATTAGAGCTACAGCTGCTGGGGGCAGCCGCAGGAATGGTGGTGGTGCCCCATTGGGAGCGTCATAAAGGTGACATGCTCGTGGCGCCCACGTGTCTCTTCGCGAAGACAATTACAAAGTTCCTCCTTTGCGTGGCTTTCGCCTGCCGCCTGCCGCCTGCCTGCCTGCAATTTGTTGCATTGTTTGTCGGGGCGACAGTGAGTGCTCCGGCTTTGGCTTTGGCTCTGGCTCTGGCCACCAGGGGTTTAAGCACTTGGAAGTTGGCAAACTATTTTTGATTTGATTTTTGAAATTGGTTCGCTTTGGGCGCTTAGCGTAAGTTGCCGTTGCAGGCCCCACCAACCCACCCAGAGCCCAGTCGGCGCATTCTCCGTACCGTAATGATTTATAGCGCACGTGTTGCATTCACCGTCTGCCACAGCCACAGCCACAGCCACAGCCAAAGCTTTTGCAGAGAGTGGGTCGCCAGGTTAGGCACAGATGTGGAGAGCGAGAGACACCGGGCCAAATCACAGTGAAAGGCATTAAAGTGATAGAGTCTGGCCGGTCTGGTCGACGGTGAAATTTGCATTTTTAATGCCACAACGCCCCCGTGGCAGGCGGATCCCCCGGGTCCCTGGGTATTCCACTTTTGAGTCATGGCCCGGCCTGGGTCTCGCTTTTTGGTGGATTATTAATATTTCATATTTGTCTTTGATAAGCGGAAAGTGCGCAAGAGACATCCAGCCAGCCCCCAGCCATAGACAGTTGAATGAGTCTCGGAAAAGGCTGAAAATGGTTTCGATTCGCAGTTCGGATTGCGATTGGCATTGGGATTGGCCATTAGATGTGTTGAAAAGTTGAAATTATTTGGAATTTGTAATGGCAGACAACAATTTCTTGATTTAAATTTGGAACACGCTGAAATGGATATGCCAGGAGGGATTTAGGAGTAGATCTCGGGGGGAATGGAAAGCCTTTTTGCTTATTTTTATGCCATTAAATAATTGCAAATTCTGCGACCTTTTTTTTTATCATTTTGTGGTTGTTCTTTGTGGCTTTAATGTTTGATAATTTCTGGAATTATTTTCAAAGCGTGAATATTATTCATATTTCTATGCGCATTTCTCGCATTTAAAACGTTATAAATTCTAATCAGGCCGTAATCAATGATAGTCCCCACCCTGCTCTTTCACTTTGCAGAAATTAATAATAAATTGCAGCACGGCAACATTAAATTGTGCAAATCGTGAAATAATTTAGCATGAATTTACGCCAAGCGGGTCGGGTGGCAGAGCGCGGGTGGAGGGGGGTGGTTCAACGAGAAAGCGCAAGGAAAAGCGAGTGAAACATTTCCAATTAACACGTTGCTGGCCGACACAGTAGTATTTCAAAGGAATATCTATCCAGTAGCTGGAGGTATGGGGATATTAAGTCATTAGCATTTATTGCCCTCTCTCGCTCTTACTCCAAACTCCCACTCTATCTGCTCGCTCGCTCGCTCGCTGTCTCTTTCTGCTAGCCCTGCTCTTTGGTCCATTCAGTACAATTTTCGCTTTCCTTCCTCCTTTGGCTCTCTGCGCTCTCGTTCATTGCCCATTGCAATTTGCTTCACTAATGTTTCTTCTCTGTTTTCAAACGTCTCTCCATTCATTTAATGGCGTCTGCTTTAAATTCCTTTCTCACTCTCACACAGCGAGCTCTCTCTCTCCCTCTCCCTCTCCCTCACTTCAACAAGCTCTGTCTCTCTCTCCCTCTCTGGTCTGCCGGTCCATTCCTTTTGGCTGTTCTCAAATGAAGTGTGAACGAGAAAAGCGTTTGCCGCTTTCAAATGAGATTTTTAAATATGACCAGCAATTGTACGAGAAATTCTAAATATGCCAATACCAGAGAGAGAGAGAGAGAGAGAGACTCAGACTGCGACGCAAAGTGGCAACCATCTCTATTCTGTAGCAGAGGCAGCAACATTTCGTGGCAGGCAGCGCAACATTGTTACAGTTTTTGCATTTTATATTCCCCATGCTCAGCGGAGGTTGAGCCTCATGTCTTCATGTACTTTGCATATTTACACTAATAGAAATTGTGGCAGGCAATTGAAAAAGGAGCCCAGTGCCAGTGCCACACAGCAAACTTTTGCCTGCCACATAGAGACGACGGCAGCCATTGCTCCGTGCTGCCCCACTGCCACTGCTGCTGTTCCTGTTTTATGTGTGGCAATAAAAAGTGTCGCAGGCTCTCCTCGGGGTGCAGGGCCATGGGGCAGTTTTTACGGCTCTTGTTGTCCCGCCCCCTACTCCCCCCTGTCCTGCTGCTGCTGCGGCTATTTTATTGTTGCGACAACAGCAGTAGTGCTGCATTTGTATGCGTATTTATCTGTGTGTGTGTGTGTGTGTGTATGTGTCCAGTGTCGTCCATTCCTCAAACTTAATATATCCTGTTTCCTGATTTTCATGACGTACTTTGGGATGGCCCTAGAACTGCCCTCTCTCCCTCTCTCTCGCAACTATCCGGCCACTACTTTGGTTCGCTGTCTCGCTTGCTCTGTTCCTGTCCAGTTCTGGCCACAATTTCTTGGTTCTTGTTTTCATCCGTCCCTGTCCCTGTCCCTCTCTGCATCCCCCATCCCTGTGAAGTACGGCGCTTATGCTGTGTGCCATTTTCTGCATTTAAGTGCAATTCTATGCAAGAATGTGCCGACATGCATATTTGTGCCAAAGCCATTCCCCAGCCACTATCCCTCGCTCGCTCTCCCTCTCTAAGCCACTCATTCCATATTGCTCTCCCTCTCTCTCCTTTCTCGCTCGCTGTTGGTCATAAAATGTTCGTTTTGCTAGCTAATGCATACAAATGCCTGATGCGCTTTTTGCATTACAAAAATAACAACAAAATCAGTGAAGAAGAGCAGAAAAAAGGAAAGGAAAGGGAGAAACAAACAACAAGAAGAATCGTAGAGTGTGGGATTTTGTCTGTGTGTGGGAGTATAGGCATTGGTGTCTGTGTGGCATGCATGCGACATTTCACTTTCATCCCCTTGGCATTCAACAAAAACCCAAAATAGAAGAAAACAAAACAAATATAGTCCCATCGAATCCTTTTTTGGCCAAAAAACAATAAGCCAAAAAGGCCTCAACATTATGTGGTAGTGCAACTGAAATTGATATTGAACAGTAAAGTAATTGAATTGAAGTGCAAAAAGTTGCACACAGAAATATTAAAAGAGTTTAGGAAATATGTTGACAAAGAGGAAATAGGAAAACAAAGTATGCAGACAACGTCTCCTTCACCGATCAGCTAGATTCCGACTCTCTGCTTGCAGGTACAGTAATAAAGAAATTGAGAGAGGGTGAGAGTGCAAAGAACAGAGAGTGATGCCAAAGCTAAAGCGTGTGCGAGGGTGGCTTTTGATGTTCTTACGAATTGCGAGACTCGCGGCGATCACATCCATCGCTGCATGGCAAACTCGTGAGCAGACCCTCGAAGAAAACGCGAGCGTAAACCAAAGCGTGCGCTCTCTGAGCGAGTGACTCTCATACATAAGATGCATGAAAGACAGAACGAGATGGCAAGTTAAAAGGGCGGAGATATGTAGATAAAGGCAGCGTTCGATGAACTCATGATTTAGCAAAAGAAAGAAGGAATAAAAGAAAGTTGATCTATTTGTATTCAATTTAAAATCCACGACAGTGAAAAGTCTTCCAATTATCGTTCTGTGCTACGAATT